ATAACCGATAGGGGCCGACCTGAGTTTTCGCGGGCTTTACGTCGAACCATAGGTTTAGTCAGCCGCTCATATGAAGACACCCCATAAGCCAGTCGCATTGGCCTTCGGCTTTCGAACCCGCCGAGCCCTCAGCTCTGCAGCCAGGATGGCAACCGGTAGGCTCTTTTTCATCGCCGGGGGGGGGGGGGGGGGGNNGGGTAAGTATAAATAGGGCTTTGGGTTACCGTTTATTTGCATAATCCTTTTGCCGACTGATTTACAATTAGTTCGGGTTTGATTGAGGAGGTACCTGTAAAAACTGGCAGGGTATGACACCAAGGTTGCAGGGCCTACCCCCAAAACAGCAGGGTTTTGGGATCCACAGGCCAGACCTTAAATTTATCCAGAGCTCTCCTCCAATCTTCATATTAAAGCCCCATGCATGTAACGGTTTACGGCAACACCATAAAACCTAAATCCCAAAAACCCGAACCCCTAAACCCAAAAAAACGAACCCCTAAATCGCTGACAAGGATTCCCGGCTGGAAAGACCTGGATCTACAGAAGCTCACAGCCCGCCGACGAAGGTCTTTAAGGTTTGGGCTTTAGGGTTTAGGCTTTTGGGTTTAGTTAGGGCTGAGAAGGTTTAGGTGTCAGGCTTTAGACTTTGAGTTTTAAGGTTTTGAGTTTTTAGGGCTGAGGTAGGTTTTCAGGTCTCGCGCGTCGGGTTAAATGAGTTTTCAGGTGGTGTTTAATGATCAAGGGTTTTACGTGTTTTTCGGTTTGCACATGGCTTTGAGGACTGTACAAGGGCGGTGCCTTACATATATATATATATATATATGTTTTTCTATTTATTTATTCATTTATTTGTTCTTTTGTTTATTTATTTATTTATGAACGGGTTATCAAAGTGGTTTAGTATACAAAATGCTGGATCTTGGGGCCTGCGTTTGTGCAGGAGGAGTTGTTTTCGAGTTTCTCGAGTCTTATTTCGATAGGGTTGATGATGCTCACTTGCTCAAGCTAGCCTTCTGGTCACGAATCACTTCTTGACTTGTTTGATGTTGGCGCTGTTGGCCGTTGGCACCGCCTGGTCCGCGATTCTTATTCTTCCCATGGTGACCGATGTTTTGGCTTCTTGAGTTCATACTGTTGATGGACAGAATTCTGCATGACCCAAATATAGTATAGTACCATCAATCCCATAGTTTAGGTATATAGGGTCATGCAGGATTTTGTCCATCAACCGCAGTTGGGTGCCTTCGGTGCGATTTCGTCCCTTCGCCTGTTGCTCTCGCTGCTGCCTCGTGAGTATGAAGCTCCTGGGGCTTTGGATTTACTTGCTCTACTTGGAGGCCCACGGGACTTAGTAAGTAGGTTATAAGTAGAGTTATAAGTACCCTAAATGGAGTTATCATAATTATAAAGCCAGTTATAACCGACTTACTAAGTCCCCTGGGCCTCCAAGTAAAGTCCTAGTTCCTACAACGAAAGCCTAAACCCTAAACCTAAACCCTACAACTGCCCTACAACCCCGAGTAGGGGTGCGCAATGCCAAGGCTGGCGCCACGGCGACGCGCGAGCTCAGTTCCCGATGGCTGCCTTTTGCTGACTGCATCCTTGAGATGGCCCCATGGCCTCTGGGGGCTTTGGGGGTGTTACTGTTAATGATCTAAATCCTGCATGACCTTATAAGGACCCTCAACAATGGGAATTATGGTATATTCTTTATTATGGGTAATGCAGGATCTATATCATCAACCGTACGGCTTTTGGGGTTTAGGGTTGTGGTATGGCCTCTGGGTGTTGTGGTTTCTTGGAGGGTCGAGGGACGGAGAAAGTAGGTAGTAAGTAGACTTCCCGAAACACGACTACCCGAAAAGGGACCCAGATCGGGGTTATGATACTTATTAGTCTATAAACTAACTGCTTCCTAAGTCCCGCGACCCTTCAGGGCATGCGGGTGTTTAGGGCTTTTTGGGTTCAGGGGTTTTAGGGTTCATGGGGGAACCCTAAACCCTCAACCCTAAACCCTATACCCTAAACCCTAAACCCTAAACCCTAAACCCTAAACCCTAATTGGGGGTCTCGGGGGGTGAAGGGTTTGTCTCTCCGTAAGGCCTTGAGCCCCAACCGCGGACCCTAAGAACATGGAGGGTTTAGGGTTTAGGGTTTAGGGTTTAGGGTTTAGGGTTTAGGGTTTAGGAAGAGGAGTTTGAAGTCAAAGGATTTAGAACTTTGGGGCCTAATCTAGGGGCCTGAATCATTAGAATGGGGTTTGGGGGGATGCTATAATATATTTATAGTAAGGAATCCCCCCAAAACCCTATTCTAATTATCAAGGCCCGGCCCCTACATTATGGCCTTAAGGTTTCAGATCTTGGGGTTCTGGTTCACCAGTTCGCCTCAAACCCAGAATCAAGAGCCCAGACAGAACCGTGAATGAAACCCTATAATGTAGGGGCCTGAATCATTTAGAATAGGTTTTTAGGGGGCTCCTTATTATAACTTTAGCTTCATATACCCCCAAGCCCTATTCTAATTGGGTGGTTGTCAAAATTATGGTCCCTTTTTGGGTCCTTATTATAATACGGCACCTATGATTTAGGGTACCCCAAAAGGGACCATAATTTTGACAACTACCCAATTATCAAGGCCCCCATCTTAAGCCGAAAGCCCACATCGAACCCCCGAAATCCTCTGCCAAAACCAGGCTCCACCTATTCATCGGCCCCCAAAATACCCTAAACCCTGAATCCTGAAACCCTGAACCCTACATCCTAAACCCTAAAACCCTAAACCCTAAAACCCTAAACCCTGAACCCCAAATCCTAATATCCTAAAACCTAAACCTTAAGCCCAGCTGGACCCCGAACACTGAGGTACAAAAACCAATGCAACCTCCAGAGCGGCGGTCCTGATTTGGCCAAGCGCCTTCGGCTGCCAGGCAGGGAGAAGAGGGTCCGATGATCTCGAAGCTCCACTTCCTGGACTTTGAGTTTTGGGGAAAGCTAAGGGGTTAATTCGGCTTTAAGGTTTGGGCTTGGGGTTTTAGGGTGTTCTAGGGTTCATGGTGCATGTTTTTGAATCTATGGTTTGGGCTGTAGGGTTGAGCACGAATGTAGGCATTGACGGTCAAGACAGTGAGGGCACTGTAGGGCCTGATCGAAAACAAAGCGCCCCCCCTTTGTACCAACATTCAAGGCGATGCCGAGTCAATGTAGAGGCCTGCCCCAGCTCGTGATTATCATACATTTTATGTGACGACTACCCTAAACCCTAAACCCTTGACCATTAAGCTATAGTCGAGTTGTGAAACTACATCACACGCACTTCCCCTGAACTTGAAATCCGAACTCTCTGAGTCCCCAAACATAGTCAGTGCCGGGTTTTGGTGCACTTCATAGTATGCCGACACTTATTTTGTATGTATGTCTGTATGTATGTCGGGACATGGACGGCGTATTCTTACTGATCGTTTCAGACACCAAAACTATACACTCCTGACCCCGGACACCTACAAACCTCAAGTCATAAGCTAAAGCTAAGACAGGCAAGGCGACACGGCTCCGGCAGCCCTTCCACATCCTTGGCAGAGGACGTCTAGTAAACAAAAAGAGGCCTCCATACTTACCAAAACGACGTAGTTTGGGGATCCCTTACTGTGATTTTGGTACAATATACCCCCAAACCCTATTCTAATTATCGAGGACCCTATGTTAGACCTCAGAGTCGGATTTCAGGGGTCAGGGGTCGGGGGCTAAAGATGTGAACCATCGTGTGGGGGGCTTTGGGGCTTGGGAGTTAGGGCTTTGGGGATCATGGAGTGGATTCAAAAATTTAAGGGTTTGGTGGCTCGAACGCTTAAGATGTGAAGATTTGAGGCTCAGGCTCTTCTCCTTGATTGCAAGATCACAGCAAATCCACATCCCAATAAGGGCCTCGTCCTTCGTGTGACGGGATTTCGAAGCAACCATAGATAGAGGATTCTCCAAGCGCCTGGTGGGTTCTGGTGTCCAGGGTCAAGAGACGTTGGGGGAGTCTTGGCTTCCTGTACCCTAAACCCTAAAGCAAGCGGGACCCGGCCTGCCGCCCACAAAGGGACTTTAAGGAGCCGAACCTCTTCTGAGCCTCAAAGCCAGAGCCCCATTCCCTGGACCTTAAGCCATAGGGGCGCACAGTGTGAAGCCACCGCAAATCCCAAGTCCACTCCAAATTCCTAACCAGATCCCAACACCAAGAAAGCCCAGGCCAAGACACAGCTAGCCTCCTGAGACGCACACCTGGAGTGCTGGACTGCCGACACTAGACTCTCTCTCTCTCTCCTTCTTTTTCTCCGGGGACAAGGCTGAACATCTATGTCTTTCTATGTTTGAGACAGCCTGAACATTATCGTCTCGTCTTCTTGACATGTTGGCGCTTCCTGGCTTGCTGCGTGGGCGTAGTGTATCTCTTAGGTTAGGGGCTCGTGGTTGAAGCTCAAAGCCCGATGTCAAAAAAGCTCATGCCGTAGAATTGAACCCATAAATCAGCGTCTCTTCTGGGCTGTGCCGGACAGTCAGCCATACACAAAAGCACACATCACCACTATGTCTGCCCACCATCCAAAACAGCAAACGACTAGCATAACCTGCGACTGGAAAGCCGTCACGAGCGGTGCAATGTGCTTTTTCTGGTCGCCACCCCATCATGCCAAAAAAAAGAAGTCACTCGTGACAAAGAACAGCGTCACCTTCGATTGTGGCTCCATTGCTCTCAACGCATGGCTGCGACTTTCATGTTCGCAGGATGTGTGCGGGTCCCTTTTTTTACATCTTCTTATGAAAGCAGCAAACACTAAACCCTCAACCCCTAAACCCTAAACCCTAAACCCTAAACCCTAAACCCTAAACCCTAAAAAAAACCGGCCAAGCCACTGGCAATCAGGGATGGAGCGGCACTGGGAAGCGGCGTGCGCTCGGCCTGAGAGTGCGTTTCATTTCTTTGCCGTGGTTTAGGGTTTAGGGTTTA